TTCACCCTCCTCCTCGCTAAACCACCTCCCCTGTTCCCTCCCAAGTTTCTTTCCCCTTCTGCCACCTCCCAGGGTTTTTGCCTCTTCGTCCCTTCCAGCTTTTTTCTCCGTTCCCTCCACCCTTTTTGCCCCCCCCCCCCCCTACCTTGGACAGTCCCTTACGTTCCAATCTTACTCATCCCCCCTACCCCTCTCCAATATTTTCTACCTATGACTCTCTGAATTTTGAAACACTTGAAGCAATCCTGAATAATTGCGAGACCAAACCATCAATGGACACGATCCACCCCTGTTCCTTCCTCTCCCTCCCCCCACTCCCAACTCCTTTCTTCACAGCGCACCTTTTCCTTCGCGCCTGAACTTTTTCCGCTGCCCCCGCATGGGACTTTTTAACCCCTCTAGTCCGTAGAACCCTTACCGCGGATTTCAAGTATTTTTATCATTCCCAAATAAAGGGCCCTTTTACAGGGGAATATAAGGCCCAGGGCAATGGGGGTGAGTTTTCAGATTTACTCTCCCGTTTTCCCCTGTAGGTGTTTGCTTACGGGAAACCCAAAAATTACACTCTGCTGTTTCTCTCCCACTCGGGCTATAATTTATTGTTTCTTCAGATCCTTTTCCTGAGGGACCTTTTAAAAGTCCCTTTTTCTCCCACTAAATTTTCCCGTACCACAGCTTTTTGTTCATACTTCGCTGCTTACACAGCAGCCCGTATCCACTTGCTAGGTGGTTAGGCTCTGTTCTTAAAATCTCTCCCTTCTCGGGCATTATCTATTCCGGATATTGCCTTTCTTGTTTTGTCATACCACCACCGATTCTTTTCTTTGGGGATTTAATGCCCATCATTTCCCGGGGGGGGGTTCCCGTAATTCCCCCGGGGATTTATTAGAGGCTTTTCTTTCCACCCACCCCCTCCTGTTTTTAAAATACAGGTCCCGCACCCATTTTGATCCCCGGACCCACCTCCTTGATCGTCTCTCAGTCTGCTCTTTCTTTTTCCCCCCCATTAGACTTCCCCTGGTCTGTTCTCCCAGATTTACATGACACGTATTTCCCAATCATTTTTACTTCCCCTTCAATTCACCACCTCTTCGTTCCCAAAAGCTGGCAATTTATCAGGCAAATTGGGAAACCTTTCTCACAACAATGTTTTTTGGGGAGGTTCCTTCTTCCCTCCATTGATGACTTTTACACCTTCTCTCCCCGTTTTAAAAACCCCAGCTTCTCATTTTATACCCCAAAGTTTGGGCACATTCTCAGAAATGCGTGATTGGTGGTCTTCTGCTTGTGCTCGTGATACGTTTGAAACTCGTGCAGGGGCGGTACGGTACAATAGAACCCCGGAGAGACTTCTTTAATTTTTAACAAAGTGTGCTTGCTCGCCGTGTCATCCGTGACGCTAAACGCATTTGCTGGGGAGATTAGTTTTCCACCATCCCCAACTTCCTCTTAGGCAGTCTGGGAAAAAAATACGAAAACTGAGTGGTAAAATTCTCCTACCCGGCTCCTGTTCTGCGGTTGCCGGTGTTGATATAGCAAACCCACTAGATGTTGCCAATGAAATTGGCAATCATCTGGTCCGTATTTCTCAGAGGCTCCATATATGCCCCTCGTTTCTTTCCTCAAAGTCTGCCAGAGAGTTAGCTCCCTTGGACTTTTCTTCTCTCAGAGAAGAACAGTATAATGTGCCTTTTACACTTCAAGAACTGGAGGCAACACTCTCAGCTTGCCGATCATCGGCAGCTGGGCCCGACGACATCCATATTCGTATGCTACAACATTTACATCAGTCAGCCCTTGCAGTCCTATTACGCCTTTTCAATCTTATTTGGTCACAAGGAGTTCTTCCACAGCTGTGGAAATCTGCCATTGTTCTCCCTTTCTGCAAACCAGGCACTACGGGACATGAAGCCTCCCACTGTCGTCCTATTGCTCTTACCAGTGCAGTTTGCAAAGTGATGGAACGCCTGGTAAATAGACGTTTAGTGTGGTATTTAGAGACACACAACAGTCTCTCCACTCGTCAATATGCTTTCGTAAGGGACGTTCTACCATAGACCCCTTACTACGCTTGGATACGTATGTTCATAATGCCTTTGCAAATAACCACTCAAGTTATTGCCATATTTTTTGACCTTGAGAAGGCATATGACACAACTTGGAGGTATAATATTTTAGCCCAAGCCCACTCCTTAGGCCTCCGAGGCAATCTACCATCCTTCCTTAAGAACTTTTTAACTGATAGACATTTCCGTGTTCGGGTTAATAATGTGCTCTCCCCGGACTTTATCCAAGCTGAAGGTGTCCCCCAGGGATGTGTTCTGAGCACAACACTTTTTCTCCTTGCTATTAATGATTTGGCTTCTAGTCTTCCATCAAATATTTGGTCATCACTCTATGTTGATGACTTTGCTATTGCCTGTGCAGGCACTGACTGTCACCTCATTACAGTTTCTCTCCAGCATGCGGTCGACCGTGTTATCAATTGGGCCACCAAACATGGGTTTAAATTTTCCAGCACTAAAACCCACCAAATTACTTTCACTAGATGCTCTGTCATCTCCGATCATCCTTTGTACCTCTATGGCTCCCGTATCCCTGAACGTGATACAGTCAAGTTTCTGGGCCTCCTCTTTGACCGTAGGTTATCCTGGAAACCTCACATTACCTCTCTGAAGGCAACTTGTCACAGCCGGCTGAACCTTCTTAAAACCCTTGCTCATCTTTCATGGGGAGCTGATCGTCGAACCCTCCTTCGCCTACATTCCACCCTCATTTTATCGAAACTTGATTATGGTGACCAGATCTATTCAGCGGTATCTCCTGCTACTCTCTCTAGCCTTAACCCCATTCATCACCAAGGATTACGTTTATGCCTTGGTGCTTTTCGCTCTTCCCCTGTTGAGAGCCTCTATGCAGAAGCGAACGTTCCATCCTTATCCGATCGCCGTGATGCCCATTGCCTTCGCTACTATGTACGCTCTCATGATTTCCGCAATCCTTCCATTTATAGAATGGTCACTGATATTAGTAAACATTCTTTATTTGTTCGCCGCCCCTGTTTACTCCGTCCCTTCTCTCTCCGCCTTCATTCGCTCTTGTCTTCTCTTCAGTTACCACCTTTCTATGTTCATGTAGCATCTCACTTTTCCCTACCCCCCTGGGAAGTTCCAGCTGTTCGAGTCTGTTCTTTCTCTCTCCCTTGCTCGAAAGCCCAACTGTCTATGGTCGCTTCCTGCTCTCTTTTCCTTGACCACTTCCACTCTCATTCTCATGCCATTGCTGTGTACACAGATGGCTCTAAGTCTTCTGATGGCGTAGGATTTGCAGCAGTGTTTCCGGACAGTGTCGTACGAGGGCATTTACTATCTTCGGCTAGTATTTTTACTGTTGAATTGTATGCCATCCTTGCAGCACTTATCCGTATTGCATCTATGCCTGTGTCATCATTTGTGGTTGTCTCAGCCTCCCTTAGCGCTTTACAGACTATACAGAAATTTGATACACCTCACCCCTTAGTCCTCCGTATCCAACTTTGGCTATGCCGTATCTCTTCCAAGCAAAAAGATATTGTTTTTTGTTGGGTCCCTAGTCATGTTGACGTACAGGGCAATGAACAGGCAGACACTGCTGCGCGGTCAGCAGTACATGACCTACCAGTTTCATATAGAGGTATTCCATTTACGGACTATTTTGCTGCAATATCTTCCCACCTTCACACCCATTGGCAACAACGTTGGTCTACTATGCTCGGTAACAAACTTCAATCTATTAAACCAAGTATAGGTTACTGGCCGTCTTACTATCACCAGTGTCGAGGTTGGGAGACTACTCTCTCCTGTCTTCGCATTGGCCATACTCATCTTACTCATGGATATCTCATGGAGAGGCGCCCTGCTCCTCTCTGTGAGAATTGCCAGGCTCCATTATCAGTCAGCCATATTCTGTTGGACTGCCCACTTTATCAACGAGCACGCAGAATTTACCTCCGTCGTCGTCTTCGCTCCGCTGCTCTCTCTTTACCTTCCTTTCTCGCTGATGGACCCACCTTTCATCCGGACTCTCTCATTGACTTTTTGACAACAACTGACTTACTTCACAAATTCTGATACCTTCAGCCCTTTCTACCTCAATCTCTTGCTACCCTCTACCCCCGTACTATCCCCTGCCCCGCTGTTTTCTGTAACCTACTGATCATCCCTCCTCCCTTCTGCTGCCCAATACCCTCGCTTCCTTCCCTACCCTGCAGCGCTGTATAGCCCTTGTGGCTTAGCGCTTCTTTTTGATTATAATAATAATAATCTACTGTATAGAAGTGGAAAGAGATGCTTGGACTGCTGTTCTTTCTTTATATATAAAACTGTTCCTTAATAATATGAGAAATCACAAAAGCACTTTTAATAATATTGATTTTCAATGCTGTTACATTGCATAAAAAAAGAAGAGAGGGTAAATAAGGACTACCAAGCACTGGATTACAGTACTATTAAATTACTATACTGCTGTAGTAAAACTGCATATTTAAATTTTAAGCAATATTTGTACAATTTTTTTTGCAACACAATGGCTGCCTCACACCAAGGCAGGGGACCCGAAAAAGAAGAAACAGATATTTATATCTATTTTCAAAATTATAAGTTGCTGATAGCCTTAGGGAATGTAGCTTAGGGATAGTACTGTACTTTTAATGTAGGTACTAGCTAGTGATGGGATGATCCCAAAATGATTGCTGATAGTGATACCAATACGTACTCAATTTTAGGCTGATACCAATATCATCAAAATTTGCTGATACTCATCAATTCTGATACCATCAAAATTAGGCAATATCCAACGATACTAATATGTATTCTGTTTTAGGCAGATACCCACAGATACTTCAAAACATCCCTAATACTAGCTGTTAATCACTTATTACATTTTAAATTAATATTCCACTCCCTTGATAGTTAAATTACAGTGATCTAATGTTTTAAGACACACACACAATACTTATTTACCTTTCCTTTTATCTGACGATTTAATGTTTTAACTTTCTCTCCTGATTCCTGGTCCAACACCACAGCTAGGATTTCCGTGTCACTGTCACTCAAACCAAAGTTCTTCAATGATAATGTAATCTGAAAAAAAAGGTTAAATATCATCATGATATTATATTATACTCTTTAGGGTCACAACTTTGCCTTTAATAACAAAATGGTGTAGTAATGAGAATTTTTAAGCAAACATTCATCTGAAGTCTATAAAGATTACCCAGATAAAAATGGTTTACAAGTGAAAAACGACCAACGTGTTAAAAAAAAGTCTTCATAAAACTTTCACAAGCTAATGTAACATGACATTAAAATGCATGTACAGTATATCATTTTACAACTAAATCAAGATCAATTATATTTCAGTAAGCAATAACAAAAATTATTAGTAGTGTACACAAAATGCATTACAATAAGTTCTCTTATAAAGTTCCTTCAGTTTGATTTTTTTTTGTAAATGTAACTGAGAAAGTGCATCAAAAATGAATAGCACATGAAAAGGTCTTCATAATATGTTTTATCCAAATTTGCATTCAGTTTTTCAATTGGATTTGGATGAGGGTATCAAATGATTTAGATAAAGAAAAATTGGATATCAAATTGGGGAGGAGGAGTATGGAAGAAGTGAATGTTTTCAGATACTTGGGAGTTGACGTGTCGGCGGATGGATTTATGAAGGATGAGGTTAATCATAGAATTGATGAAGGAAAAAAGATGAGTGGTGCATTGAGGTATATGTGGAGTCAAAAAATGTTATCTATGGAGGCAAAGAAGGGAATGTATGAAAGTATAGTAGTACCAACACTCTTATATGGGTGTGAAGCTTGGGTTGTGAATGCAGCAGCGAGGAGGTGGTTGGAGGCAGTGGAGATGTCCTGTCTTAGGGCAATGTGTGGTGTAAATATTATGCAGAAAATTCGGAGTGTGGAAATTAGGAGAAGGTGTGGAGTTAATAAAAGTATTAGTCAGAGGGCTGAAGAGGGGTTGTTGAGGTGGTTTGGTCATTTAGAGAGAATGGATCAAAGTAGAATGACATGGAGAGCATTTAAATCTGTAGGAGAAGGAAGGCGGGGTAGGGGTCGTCCTCGAAAAGGTTGGAAGGAAGGGGTAAGGGAGGTTTTGTGGGCGAGGGGCTTGGACTTCCAGCAGGCATGCATGAGCATGTTCGATAGGAGTGAATGGAGACGAAAGGTATTTGGGACCTGACGATCTGTTGGAGTGTGAGCAGAGTAATATTTAGTGAAGGGATTCAGGGAAACCGGTTATTTTTATATAGCTGGACTTGAGTCCTGGAAATGGGAAGTACAATGCCTGCACTCTAAAGGAGGGGTTTTGGGATATTAGCAGTTTGGAGAGATATGTTGTGTATCTTTATACGTATATGCTTCTAAACTGTTGTGTTCTGAGCACCTCTGCAAAAACAGTGATTATGTGTGAGTGAGGTGAAAGTGTTGAATGATGATGAAAGTATTATCTTTTTGGGGATTTTCTTTCTTTTTGGGTCACCCTGCCTCAGTGGGAGACGGCCGACTTGTTGAAAAAGAAAAAAAAAATTTGCAAAAATCAAACTATATACAGTATTTTTCATCAGACCAGCCATATCCCACTGAGGCAGGGTGACCTAAAAAGAAAAACGAAAGTTTCTCTTTTTAACTTTAGTAATGTATACAGGAGAAGGGGTTACTAGCCCCTTTCTCCCGGCATGTTAGTTGCCTCTTACGACACGCATGGCTTAAAGAGGAAGAATTCTCTTCCACTTTCACATGGAGATAAGAGGAAATAAACAAGAACAAGAACTAGTGAGAAAATAGAAGATAACCAAGAGGGGTGTGTATATATATGCTTGTACATGCAAGTACAGTATGACCTAAGTGTAAGTAGTAGTAGTAAGATATACCTGAAATTTTGCATGTTTATGAGACAGAAAAAAGACACCAGCAATCCTACCATCATTTAAAACAATTACAGGCTTCCGTTCTATACTCACCTGGCAGGATGGTAGTACCTCCCTGGGCAGCTGCTGTCTACCAACCTACTACCTCCAAACAGTCATATATAGAAAATAATTTGGTCATAACACAACTGAGGAAAAAAAATCCAGTCGCATAGTTCAAAAAAAAAAAAGAACATTATAAAATGACAGAGAAGTGCTTTGATAAATGTTATATATAATATTTACATTTTTTGATGGTGACAGATTAAAGATGATTTCGGTAAATACTGAACGAGTTACCATCTTCTTAGCTGTTAAAGATCTCACAGCTTTGTTGGCAGCAACCAGAACTTGAAATGAGTCAACTACCTGCAAGGAAATCTTTTTCAGTACACAGTAATCAAGTATCACTACAAGCAAATCTGACATTTTATATTTTACTGTAATTCCTATAATTTTAAATAAGCTTGGAACATATTTAACAATCTAACTTTTCCACTGAAACTTTATTCATAAACAATAGCTAATTTATATTGCATTTTTTCTTTCAAGGATACATTATGCTTTCTTTACAACTGCATCTACACAGATTAACCTGATCATTATCAATTTAAAAACAAAGCACATAAAATTCTGTTAAGCTCCACAAGATATACAGAGATATCACAGAATCACAAGTTTAATACACTGTATAAACAAGTGTATTATGGAATTAAACACACATCTATGCAGTACCATTCCTATATCTTATTCCTGAATGACTGTTATAGGTCAGTGCTAGGTTATTATAATAATATTCTTATTCTTGCATTACACAAGCACATTAGTAAAAGAGACGTACTTGTCCACTGATCATGATAGGACCCCTTACTACTGTCACAATCACAGTTCATATACTACTTGGCCCATTAAAATGTAAGGATTAAGTCATACATCCTTCATGCCTGTTAATGCATTAACCCTTTCAGGGCCAAAAAGGGTCGTTCTCAGGGTCAACAAATTTAAAAAAAAAAAAAAAAAAAAAAAATCTTATGAAAAGATAGAGAATCTTTTCCCGATCATAATGACACCAAAAGTATGAAATTTGATGGAAAACTTACGGAATTATGCTCTCGCGAAGTTAGCGGTCTCGACGATGTTTATGTATCAGCGATTTTGCCAACTTTGAGCCCTATTTTTGGCCAATTCCTGTGCACTAGTTGACAAAAATCATAACTATTTCACTAGAACTCCATTTTTTCTATCGAATGAGTACAAGAAACCACCCATTTACTGATTTCAACTATCTAATAAAGTGGTCAGAATCTAGCAATTTTGTCAATTTCACACAAATTTCAAAAGATGCCAATTTCCAAATAGGGTCCAGAATAAACAAGCAAGACATTCCTGGCACTAAAATAACATTTCTTCTGTTCATTAGTCATGTCCCAATGCCCCTCTTACATTCTTTTGCTTTCCACTTTGAATTTTTATTCTCACAAAAAATAGAAGATTTACTGTTATGCAGACTACTGCATTAGTGTAGAAATGGTATAAATAATATCAGTGCACTTGTGAAAGAATATTAGACTCACCAGTTGATGCGTATTGGATGCGTTGCATGATTTGTTTACTTTTGAACTTCGGCAAAAATCGAAGATTTCTGCTACTTTGAGCTCAATTTCAAGGTACTTTTCATTGTAAAACCAATCAAAATCATCTCAATTTCTGTAATATGTCTTTCATTCTATAAAATGAGACCAGGAAAACTAGAATACCATCATAAATACCACATGAAAATACAGTGCAAAGTCAGTTTTAAACCAAAAACACTGTTTAAAGTTTTTTTTTCTCTCATTATGCACTGTGTGCTGCAGGATTTTTTTTATACTCGCGCCTGACCAATAGACCCATTCTTTTATATGTAA